AGCGGCCTGTGAGCCAAGGGGGGTCGCTGGTTGATTCCCCGTCAGGGCACACGCCTGGGCTGCGGTCCAGGTCCCCAGTAGGGGGCACTCGAGAGGCAACCACACATTGACGTTTCTCTCCCTCCCTTTCTCCCACCCTTCCCCTCTGTCTCAAAATAAATAAAATCTGTAAAAAAAAAAAAAGAGGACTTTAGGCTTAGCTGTACATTGAAATGCTAAGAAGAAACCTAGAGGATTTGTCCAAACTTGATACAATTAAAGATCAGATTTATCTACAGCCTCAGTTGGGTCCATTTAACATTTACTAGAAGTCAGGTGTATATTATGTTTTCCGTGGGAGAGCTCAACGTGGCGTATTATGATAACTTAATTCTGCTTGCTCTTTCATTTCTTTTTCGGGGGGCGGGGGCAACCAAAGTGCCCCCAGGTCTGGCCAGACCTGAGAGGGACGGGACAAAACTCTCGTGAGACCCCTGGGAAGCTGGAAGCTGCCTGGGTCTCCCTCACTCGGGCTCTGAGGCCTGGGCCTGGCCTGGGGCCAGAGTCCGGCTGTTGACTGTCGCCTCAGGGTTATGATACAGTCTACCACATAAATTGGCCTTAGCAGCCCCTTCGTGTGACCAGCGAGCTGGCCGCAGAGGCTGGGTTCAGCTGGTTCCAAGCAAGGAGGCAGCGCTGTTATCAGTGGGTCTGCAGTGACAACGCCCCGTGTTACTAGGAACGGGAAAGTTCGAGTAGCAAATCCACTGACTCTGTTCCCAGAGCTCTTTTACAAGGAGCTGCCTGGAACCTGGTGCGTGGAACAGTGACAGAGGGTCAGGCCCCAGGCGGCTGGCACCGGGGGCCAGGTCCAGCATTTATAGAGCGACTTTCACACCAGTTCCCCTCCAGCCTTTCCATGGCAATGTGCAGTGCCCCGGAGTGCCGCGGACAGACTTGGGTTTGAGCCTTGGCCGAGCTCCTCAACTAGCTGTGTAATCTTGGCTGAGCTACTTAACCTCCGAACCTCAGCATTTTTGATGTTAGAAGTCTGGGCCTGGTCTCAGCTCTGCTGCCGGCAGGCTCCGGGCTGGGCGGGCTGTGCCAGGGCAGCGGAGAGGCCCTCGCCGAGCTCTGGTAACTCACGATTCCGTGGCCCCTTCTGCTTCCATTGAGAAACAAACTGAGCTGGTTATGTTCCCCTTTTCGAGAGTGAAAACGACTAGAAGTGGCTGCTCCTCTTGGTTTTTAAAAGATCCGTTTCAGACAAGGCCTCACCCTGGCAGCTAGGGGTAGCACCGCCTCTCCTTGTCCCATCAGTGCCCAGGGTGCGTGCGCGGCGGGAGCGCCGGCATGTGCCTGGCTGACGAACGGTGTCCCAGGCCTCCCGGAACCGTGTTGAGAGAAGGCCGGAGCTGAGGCTCCATCCTGTCCTTTCGTCGGCCTCTGAGAGCGTGAGCCCTGTGGCCGTGCTCTTTATGGGGGCGGGGAGTGTGGGAAGAGCGAAGGGGACAGAGGAAGGAAGGGCAGCAGCAGCAGGACCCCAGGACCCCAGGAGAGAGGGCCACTGGCAGGGCCATTTGGCCCCAGGCCTTATGACAAGCATCATCCTAACCAAAGTGCCCCCAGGTCTGGCCAGACCTGGGAGGGATGGGACAAAACTCCAGTGAGACCCCTGGGAAGCTGGAAGCTGCCTGGGTCTCCCTCACTCGGGCTCTGAGGCCTGGGCCTGGCCTGGGGCCAGAGTCCGGCTGTCGACTGTCGGGCTGGGAGCGAGCTGGCGAGTGCAGCTTTGGGGAAGCAGCCAGGGCTCTCTCAGTCCCCCGGGGGAGGGCGTGCTGCGGGCTGAGTGGGCTGAGTGGGCTGAGTGGCCTGGAGAGAGCCCTCGACAATGGGGAGAAAGCGGATGGCTCTGAGATTGCGGAAGGAAAGATTTAGAGGCTGCCAAAGCTCGAGTGCAGAAGTGTTTAATTGCAAAGGTGTTTCTGGCTGAGTGATGTCTTCAGGAACAAAGAATCTCTTGGGCAAGAGCATAGAGGAGGTTTTGTTTTCCAGGACCAGAACCTGCCCCTGAGCTCTCGGCACAGGCCTGATAAGAGGCCCTTGCTCATTGGCTGAGAGAGACCCTCCGCGTTTTCCTCTCAGTCCGTCCCAACTCCAGGGGAGGGAAGGGCCCCCAGGCTTGCCCTTCAGGGCTCCGTCTGCCCCTTCGACTCCACAGCCAGGTGCTCACCTGTCTCAGCTGGCGGCCCTGGTGTGGGAGCTTGGTTGGCAGGTGGGTCATAAGGAATCTGTTACTAGCCCTCGGTACCAATGCGTGGGAAGGCCTTGCTTTTTTTTTTTTTTAAGGTAAATTATAGCACATTTTAAGTTATCACAGAATAAAACCACTGCCTTTCCCTCCCGAGCAGGTGTGCTCTCCTCAGTGGGGGAGACGAGTGCAGGAGCCTCGCACGGGCCGCGCTGGACCGTGCAGCGCAGCAGCAGGGCCGCGCCCCTGCGTCTCCGCCCAGACTCACCCCCATCGGGGCCCACCAGCAACGCAGTTTCCCGGTTCCCAAGTCCGCCTGGGGAGCTCTAACCTACATCATTAAAGATGCGACACTGAAGTCCCCGCCTCCGTCCAGCTCTCTCCCCTTCTACTCCAAGCAGACTCGGCCACGCCTCCTACTGTCCCGCAGCACTCGTATGCCCCGCCAAGGGACACGCAGCGCGCTGTGGTGTCACCGCAGTGACCGCCCAGCCCACGGTTTTCGCTATTTCCGATGTCAGGCACTTGGTTACGTTGGCCCCATAAATTCTCACAACATTCTGGAGACTGTGGCCTCAACAGGTGCCCCCTCTCAGGGAAAGCCTGTGTCGGACCTGAGGTGCCAATTTTCTGGGAGAGAACTCATGGGCGATGGATGGGAGGCTCCCAGTGCATTCCTGCATCCGCCACCTCCCCCAGACTGAGTTCCCGGGGGTCAGACACTGTGGTTCTCACCCGCTCCCCAGTCTAGCTCTGTGACGGCACAGTGGGGGGGGGGGGCTCTGCCATTGTTGGCTGTGCCCCAACAGATAACTTATGGCCTATGGGACATAATACGACATGCCTGCCTACAGTGAGTTTCCACAGCAAGCCTGAGTGCGATATTAGGGCTCTTGTTCCCATTTTACAGAGGAGAAAATGGAGGCTCAGAGTTAAGTAACTTGCTCATGAGCAAACAGCTGACGAGGGTGGAGGCGACCCTAGGTCTGGATTCCTACACTATATATCTGCCAGCTCCGTTGGAGCTCAGTAATGTCCCAGCATTGTTGAGTCAGAAACCAGAGATGCTTAGAGGAGATCTATTTGTTGTCTGATGAGGTTGACCTGATTCCCAGCAGGATTATTTGGTGCCCAGCGGGCATGTTCTACCCTCTGGGTATCTGTGAAGATGTAGTAGCACACTCTGCCTGTTTTGGAGCATCTGACTTAAATAGACACGTGTACAGCTGAACGTGGATCTGTAGAACTGTAGGTCAGCTGTAGAACTGTAGGTCAGCTGTAGAATGCCATGGCTAAAAAGGGACCGTTTACTCAGCCTCCTTGTTTTGAGATGAAGAGACCAAGACCAAAGGAGACTCGTTGCTGCCATGTACTGAAACTTGCCATGGGCCAGGACTGTGCTAGACACATTTTTTTTTTTGCAGGATTGCATTTAATCCCCAGGTAGGCACTGTTTTAATCTGCCCCATTGACAGATGAAGGCACTGAGGCTCTGTGGGGAGAAGCGACTTGCTTACCATCCCAGAGCTAATCAGTGCGGGGACCAGAGTGAACCCAGCTCAGTCTGCTCCGAAGCGTATGCTCTCAACCCACACCCCCGGTCAGGGTGCTGTCCTGCAAGGCGCTGTGGGCGGACGCTCTGCCCCGTGCCCCCATAGACCTACAAACAGTGCCGCCCTTGTCTTTTGCAAAGGCAACCCTCCTGGACTCAGGTGCAGCTCCCCTCTGGAATTAGCAAGAAGCTGCTCTTCCCAATCATATTCACGTTTGCAGAAGTGTGGAATGAGTGTAAAATAGGATAATTTGAGTAAAAATAGCTTCCTCCTAATGCAGTGAAGTGGTACCAAAATCACTGACTTGGAGAAGATATGTGGTTAGTTTTTGCAAAGATGAATCTAGTTCTCAATATGACTGCCACTTGGAAGGTTCCCAGGGTCCTGGATGAATGACAGACTGAGCTTCTGGGGGCTGGGCTTACGCTGTCCCCAGAGTGAGGACTCCCAGGGTCCTAGAGCACAGAGGAGTGAGCTCTGAACTTAAAGTGAAAAGGCCAGAAGTCAAATCCGGTCGGAGGGCCCTAACCCCAAGTCTTCCCTAAGGAGCTGCAGGAGCTAATTGTGCCATATACATGAAAGTGCCCAGCACCAACACCTTGGTCCAACTTCAGAACTTACCGGCAACTCCATTCCTCCCCCACAATGATATTCTGAGAATTGCCCTATTTTAGTACAAAACATGTATTCAAGAGACTGAGGGATCAGCATTGAAAATTCTAGACAGCAGCAGACTCGAGGAAACGTGTGGGCTGCAGAAAGCAGCCCTCCCTCTCCCTCAGCCCCCACAGTGTGTTTCTCTTGCTCTTAACATGAACACGCTTTTTCCTTTGGCCTGTTGTTTCCTCAGTGGGCATTTACCAAACGCCAGTTCGGTGCCAGGCACAGTACGAGAGTTCGCCGGCGAGACAGCCTGTGTGCCAACACAGGGCATCTAACGCGAAGCCCAGAAAACTACAGGCTCGGGGGTCTTTCCGGTCAGAAGCCGGAGAGCGCTTGCTCTCTCCTGAGACCCCCCCCCCATTTCCTGGTTCTGCCTTGGAGCACCCACCGGCTCCAGCAGCTTGACCCAGGGGATTGCTAAGGGGCTGACTGTGCAAGCCTGTTGGTCAGAATTCAACTTGCTGTGGCTTTTCCCCAACTGGTGGCCACAGCCAAGGGGAGCCTCGCGCCTGGCTCTGAGGCCCGGGTGGAGCAGGCTCCCGGAAGGAACTTACCCGACGGCTTGTCTGTGGAGGACGGGAGGTTGGTGAGGGTGGGCATGGTGGGCAGAGGGGGCGGCAGCACCTTCAGGTTCTGGTCGCTCTGGATCTCGTTGGTGGAGAACTGATTGATGATGCGGTTGTAGGGGGACGGCTGGTAGACCTGGGGCGGGGTGGCGGGGGGCGGCTGGGGCATGGGTCTGGCCGCGGGCACCCGCTGGCAGTGCTCCTCCAGCTGCGCGATGATCTCCGACTGGTTGTGGGCCAGCGTGGCCAGGTGCTGGTACTTGTGCTCCAGGTCCTTGTACTTGCTCGCCAGCTGCAGCATGTCGGCCGTCTGGTTGAGGATCCGGTTCTCCAGCTGGGAGAGCTCCAGCGCGTTGTCCCGCTTGCGGATGATCTCGTGCAGGAGCTGCATGTAGAGCTGCGTGACCCGCGAGTTCATGTTGCGGCTCTCCTTGCGCAGCAGCTTCACCTCGCTCACGATGCCGCCGTCCACCTCCACCAGCTGCTGCAGCGTCTCGATCTGCCGCTTCTGCTTGAGCAGCTCGTTGTTGAGCAGCTCCAGCTCCTGCTTGTGCACGCGGTTCTCCAGGAGCACCTCGGGCTCCTTGGAGTTGACGCAGATGGCACCTGTGACCCGTTGCTGGGGCACGATGAAGGTGTAGGTGCACTTGTCTGGGGACTCGCCAGCCCGCTTGTACCTGTTCAGGTAAATGAACTCGCTTGGCGAGCCCTCCTCGGTGCCCTCCAAACCATCCTTCTGGCCGGCGGCAGCTCCCAAGGTAGCCAGCAGTCCCAGCCACCAGCACGTCACACACAGTGGCCTCATGGTCCTTGCAGAATGGTGGTTCTCCTTTGCAAACAGAGCCTATAACAACCTGAAAGTAAACAGAAGGGGAGACTCAGTAACGGTCCTATTGCTGCCAGTGGCCTGTGCCATGAATGAGCTCAGCCTTCTCACCAGGCAGATCTTTCCAAACACGCAGCTTCGGGAGGCAGCCCTTCTGGAAGCAGCAGCAGGAGACAGGCAGGCCCCGGCAGAGATAGAAAGGAGGAGGGAGGAGACCGACTGGGGCCTCTGCGGCAGGAGGCCGCAACCGTGCTGCGCCTGGAGCCAGCCCCAGCACCCACAGCCTGAGCGGGCGGCCGGAAGCTGGGAGGGGAGGGGGGCAGAGCAGGGCGTTATCCAGTCTGCCTTCTCCTCGGCCCCACACTCCTCAGGCCTCTGAGTCTCCCCATTCTACACATTCATGACCCCCGGACTTCCCTTTGTGACCCCCATCGCAATGTTGATGAGTCCGAGTTCTTCGCGACGCCTTCCGCTGGACTCCCCGTTCCGCGGGGGCAGGCCCTGTGTCTGCTGCCATTCTGTGTTCCCGGGGGGCTGCGCCGGGTGAGCTTTCAGCGAGCATTTGTTAGCTGAGTGAATTGCCAGATACAGTGTGGGATGTGTTCGGTTTCTAGCGGACAGTGTCAAGGAAACGATGTGTCCAGTCCCATGGCTTTGGTCTGTGTCTCAGCCAAGCTGCGGAGCCCAAAGAGGAACGAACAGCTGAGCCCCTGGAAACCCAAACACTCGCCGCAGCCGCAGCTGCACAGTTCCAGCCATCACAACGTGATCCAGCCCGGCGGGGGCCGAACACAGACCTGGGTCTTTGGAGTTGTCTGAGTTCTATTCTTGGGCCGTTCACGCCGTCCCCAGACGTCCCAGAACACCAGTGGGGTGCCAGGCGGGGTGCCGGCTGCTGCAGATGCTTCTGCAGATCGGACAGAGCCCTCCCCAGCCTCAGGGGGCTTCCCCGTGGTCGCGCAGTCCCCGAGTGCTGTGAGGGGAGGGAGCATGTGCAGCGGAAGAGGGTAACAGGGAGCTGCCCTCATTGGAGGGGTCAGGGAAGCTTCCCTGAGAAAATGACCTTTGCTCTGACTCCTGAGGAATGACTGAGGAATTAGTCAGGCCAAAAGGGAGGGGACGGATGTGCCCAGATCCCTCCTCTCACCTACTTAAGGCCCTCGCTCCAGGACTCCGCCCCCATCTCTCCCTGGGATCACATCTCCCCTCGGTCACGCTGTTGTTTCTCTCCGCTTAAAGGTCATCCTCTCTGGACCTCGCATCCCCTTTCCAGCCACCGTCCGGCTTCTCCACTCCCCCTTTTAGCAAAGCCCTTCACAGAGCTTCCTGTGCTCGGTCTTTCCAGAAAGCCCCTCTTCCTGCTCTCCCTCAAACTCGCTCCTGTCGGGCCTGCGCCCTCCCGTCCACCTCAAGTGCTCTAGGCGCGATCCCCAGTGGCCTCGTTTGCCCAACCAGATGTCCAGTCCTTGGTCCCCACTGATGCTTCGCCTCCCAACGGCGCTCCCTTCCTGGGCTTCCTTTCCCACGCGTCACCCTCTCCTCTCGCTCCTCAGTCCTCTCCGCCGGTTCGCCCTCCCTCCTCTTTCTGTCCCCAGGGGGGCCCCCACACCCACGAGCTCAGTCCGCCTTTCTCCCGTGGTGATCTCCTCCCGTCTGGGGGCTTCAGCCGCCTGCACGCCTTGGCAACAACTCCCACGTTTATTTCTCTAGCCTAGACCTCACCCTTCGACTCCAGGCTCACGTGTCCAACTCCCACTTCGACGCTTCACTCAGCCCTCTGCTAGGCACCCCCAGCGTTGTGCACCCGGAGATGAACCCCTGGCAGTCCCCTGCCGCCACCCCAGCCTGCTCCTCCCAGCTCCTCCTGCGTCAGGAAATGGCAACCCTGTTCTTCCGGCCGCTCAGGCCCTCAACCCTGAAATCATCCTTCCTTTCCTTCTTACCCACCTCTGTTCCACCACCGAATGATAACAGTAGTACCTGGAAATGCGCCTAGAATCCTGCTGCCTCCCCCACTTCCCCCACACCCTGGTGCAGCCACCTTCCCCTCTCACTGGGACCCAGCTGGCCTCCCTGCTCCCGCACGTGCCCCCTGCGGTCTGTTCCCGTCCCAGCAGCCAGAGCCATCCTCTCTGAGAAGTCACTTCGGGTCTCTCCTCAATTCAGGAGCCTCTCGTGGCTGCGCATCTGGGACCAGAAGCTCGCTGCTCCCTAAGGGCCCCCTGGTCTGGCCCCGCTTCCCCCCTGACCTCATCTGTGTCTCCTGTCCTCCTCGCTCACGGACTGCAGCTGCGCTGCCCCCGGGCGTTCCTCACGCACAACTGGGACCACAGGGCCTTCGCGTCTGCTCTGTCCCGCCTACAGCACCTCCCTCGTCGCTCGCTGTCTTGCTGCTGCTCTCAGGCCTTTGCCGGAATGTCACCTCCCCAGGGAGGCCCTCTCTGCTTGCTCAAGATTGCGATCTCACCACCTTGTGCCTCCAGAGTCCCCATCACCATTAGACCCAGCGTCTCCCTACCCCGCCCCTGTGAACATAAGCTCCGTGTGGGCAGGGGGGCAGGGGTCTGTTTTGGTCGCAGTGCCTAACATGCGGCCTGGAACTCTAGGAGCCCAGTAAGTATTTGTGGACCGGAAGAAAAGACATGCCCACCGACAGCTGCAGGCCGTGGGAGTGCTGGGGTGGGGACACAGCAGGCGGGCCGGGAGTGACAGCTGGGGTGGGGGACACAGCAGGTGGGCCGGGAGTGACAGCTGGGGTGGGGGACACAGCAGGAGGGCTGGGAGTGACTGCTGGGGTGGGGGACACAGCAGATGGGCCGGGAGTGACAGCTGGGGTGGGGGACACAGCAGGTGGGCCGGGAGTGACTGCTGGGGTGGGGGACACAGCAGGTGGGCCGGGAGTGACAGCTGGGGTGGGGGGCTGCACAGGAGGCCACTTATATTTATTCGTAGCTCTCATAACACCCATCAACGGAGTGTCCTCTAGGTGCCTGACCCTGCACTGGGCATTTGCACATGTTTTCGACTTGACTGAAGTCTCAAGACGTTTTTCTAAGGTACACACTGTTACACTCATCTCACAGATGAGGAAACTGAGACTCCGAGGCTCGGTAACCGGCCTAAGATCACACGGTCCTGGCAACCAGGACTCACCCCCATCCTGCTGCACTCAGGCCTGGTGGTGCAAGAAACGTCCAGACCTGCAGAGAATTTCTGTAAGGTGCCAAACTGATGACACTTGCTGGGAAGCAAAATCTCAGTGGATTGAGAAAATGCTCCGGAGAACGGCAGTTCTGTAGCTTATTTTCTACGGTAGAATAAGAGGAGGAGATGTGAGGAGAGTTACACGAACCGTGTGGGCAGTAGATTAAGCCGGGGGAGAAAGAAAGGGGGCGTGTCTGCGACTGGACAAAAAGGCAAAACAGAGAGACACCTGCTTGTTTTACGTTGGTGGGTGCAGAGCACTTACTAACCATTTGCGGCGCATAGAGATGGTGGGTGGGGGGGGTGCGGGATAACAAGCAGGGACTCTGTGGCATCCTGTCCAGGGGGAGGGGGTCTTGGGGGTCTACAAAAGAAGGTCACTCTGACATTTCAAAGGTGTGTTATCCTAGATGCAAAAACACAACAGACAGGCTCACGCCGGGTAAAGACTGGCCTTTGTCAGGGAAGCTACAGGCCTAGGACGTGCCCGCCCGCCATCGCCCGCTTCTGGTTAGGGGTGTGTGTGTTCAGACCATCCCGTGCGGTCACGTCGTCGGTCTCTGAGCTTGTAGGGCCCACCGTGCAGGCGTGCCCCGAGCTTGTCAGGCTCAGTGCCTGGCCCCCTTTTCACCCACAAACCTTCAGACCCTTAGTGCCTACATGGAAGTGTCCTGAATCTGGTCTCAGTAGTAAAACAAACATTAGCGTCACCACTCTCTGACTGCACGTGAATTTACGCTACAGTGACCACAGCGGAAGACCTGAAGGCTTTGTCTCCCGGGGCCCCCCTTGGGGGCTTCTCCGGTGGGCAGCCTGCGTCCAGGCCACACCCGTGACAGCCAGCGGGCAGTGACAGGGCCTGTGCTCTCCGGGGTCACACTGAGCCGTGCTCAGGGGAATGACAGAGCCCGAGCGCGGTGCCAGTGGCCAGCACAGGCCTTTCAGGCCGGGCAGAGAAAGGTGCCTGGGAGCCTCCGGCTTGGGCTGGGCCACGAGGCAGGGCTTCGTGACGTCGGTGGAAACCGGGCTGAGTTTGTGAGTGTATATGCCTGGTTTCCAACGCACCTCGGCTGCTCTTCTGCCAGCAGCCACACCCGTCCCAGAACAATGGGGAGGAGCCGCCCTCCTGGCTAGGGTGAGCCTGCCCTTGCCTTCCGGGGCCGCTCACCTGCCTCAGCTGTGACAAACACCTCTCTGTGCCGGAGCCCATGCCAGCACGGGCCTCCGCCATGGCCCAGAAACTGCCGGAGGCCCAGGGAGGCAGAGGACTCCGGGAAAGGGTTGACTTCCAAACCTCCCCAGGCGGGCCTCCAGACCAGGCAGGGGCGCACTGTTTACCGCTGAGGTCCGTCCGCTCCGAGTGCGGGCTCCCACGCCTTCCTGGGACCTGAGATCCTGAAGGCCGCGCCTCCTCTGGGAAGGTGGGTGTTCCAACCCACCTCATACACCAGGTCGGGAACCTGGAAGGGCTTCCGAAACTGGAGGTGGAGTAACAGAGCCGGGCCCACGTTGAGGAGGGCTGGCCACGCGCTGGCAGTGTGTCGGGCACTTTTACCGTCTCCTTGAACCCACCCCCTCGCCCCCTGAGACGGTGCCAGAGTTGACTGATCACCCCGCCGCATGGAGCAGGGGCGGCTGTGTCAGCCGGGCTCCGACCTGGGGCTCTGGCCGCCTCGCCTCGCCTCGCCTCGCCTCCCAGCCCCAAGGCAGCATGCTGGACAGACTGAGTCCGGCTGCCGTAGTGTCCCCAGCATGTCACACAGCACTGGGCGCAGAGTGGGGGTCAGGGGCGCGAAGGTGCCACCAGAGCCTGTGCTGGCCGTG